ATAACCTCCAAAAGGGTCAAAGGATGATCTGGCATGCAAGACTTGATACCTTTCAATGAGGAAGACTGAGGTACAAGAGGTGAAGAGGTGAGAGGTGAAGTGCAGGGGAGCCAATAATTATATATTATGTCCAGACCACCAATGAACAAGCAAGTAAGGTGACAGAGGTGGATATGGATAGGGCAAGTGCTATGAATGGACAACAGTGGCCTCACAGTAGGGACATGGGCACCTGAAGGGAGTGAGACACAACAGCTAGGCAGGCCCAAGGAAACAAGGAGAAGAGCAATGGAGAGAGAACATAATAGGATGATGGGTTTAAACTCTTGAGCAGGGGCAGGACTGAAGGTACAGTAGCCGACAGGGTGGCTCGGAGGAGCACAATTTCCAGCCCTGTTCTCCACATGAAGACAAGAAAATTAAAGGGTGATGATGACATAGACCAATACCTCTCCTAAATTGACTCTTTTTTTTTTTTCTTTTCCCAAGGGGATCCCCTCACAGGATTTTTGACTTTACCTTCGAAGCAAGTTCACATTTATAAAAATACATTAATTAATCACTGATTTGCAGAAATATGTTCTTCAAATTTTCAGGTACTAACCAATCCTCCATTACTGTTTGCTGACGAACCAACATCTGGTCTTGATGCATTCATGGCTCAGAGTTTGATAGCTTCACTTCAGCGTCTTGCAGCCAGTGGTCGAACCATCATGTGCACTATACATCAACCCTCGTCTGAAGTTTATGCCATGTTTGACAGGTAAAGTCTACAAAATAAAACCGCCATCAGTTCTTTTGTCTTACATTCAGGTGTGTTTTCTCTAAATTGTGTGCAGGCCATGTGTGCACTTTTCCTTTAGTATCGTTCTTGTACATGTAGTTACCAGATCAGTATGGAAAAAAGTCAAAAGGGAAAACCCAAGTTTTATGGGGGGGAGGGAGGGGCTCACTTCTATATAAAAAGGACACAGGTGCTCATGATACCTTTTAGGGGTTAAAAAGTGGTTTTAGTGCCTCTTACCTCTCTTTGGTAGCCTCAAAAGGTCCACACTGCGAGCTTTTGTGGTACCTTTTAGGGTAGTGAGCAGAAAAAAATATGACAGGACATAATGTGTTGTTCTAGAACTGGTACATCTTAGGGGTGAAAAAAAAAAACAGGATCTTGGTAAAACTTACATTTAGGGGTTCTTTTCAAAATTTCCAACAAGCACCCCTGTCCTTTGTATATATGGGAATCCCCCCTTCCCCCTGGGAAGGAAATCCAGTTGTCTTAAATTACGTACCATCCAACTCTCAAAAATAGCGTTTATTTAAGCCAGGGAAATGCATGGTACTCGGTAGAAAGATTGTATGTAGATTGTATGTACAGTTACATTTGTAAGTACAAAATGGTGTTTAAGTTGATTTCATTCTGACTGGTTTTTTTTTCAGTATTTTACTGTTAGCTGAAGGAAGGACAGCATACATGGGTTCAACAGCTGAAGCCTTATTATACTTTAGGAGGTACTGTACATGTTTACCCTACATTTGATTACACTTTAAACACAGCCCATGCATGAGGCTGCAGAGCAAGAATCTGAGAAAATGTTGACTGGGCTGTAGGCATTGGGCCAATGGGCCACAGTGCAAATATGAAATGTTGCATGTCTGATGAAAATATGTTGCAATACTGAGTAGTTTGCATATTGGTCAGTTAAGACAACAACCTCATCTTTAAAATGCATGTGTCATCTGTCTTGGCTTGGAGGCTTTTAGCCAGCCAGGATTTGACATAAAGTGGCCAGTCTGTGCAAAATGTGTCATGGGATTGCCTCAAGCCAGTAATAATCTATAGCATTCAGCCGTATGACCATTCAGCCGTAATTTTCATTTTGCTACAAAGTATGCATCCACATGTACAGTGTACCACAAGTTTGTTATTTTAACGTATTATGTTGCAGCCTTGGGTATCCTTGCCCTATGAACTTTAACCCTGCAGATTATTTTGTTCATACGCTGGCCATTGTACCTGGAGATGAGGAAAACTGCAAGGACAGAGTAAAGGTACATGGAACTCAGAGCTACTAGGCAGATTAACTATGTCCACTTACTGCACTATACATGTAGTCACTCAGGTCAACTGTCCCACACTATTACTTGTAACTAGAACTTCTCTCAGTTTCGATTAGCATTTTGTGGCTAGTGGTACTGCTGCTCCACTCTAGCTTGGTTGCTATAGTCCATTGCAGGTTACCCAAAGTGTTTTTGAGATTGCCATGGCTAATGGAGAGTGAGATAGATATGCATGAAGTGCTACTCATAATATAATAAGAACACAATGTAGTGAGAATGATCAGTCAGTCAATCAATCAAAGAATTGATTAGTCAGTTAGTCAGTCAGTCAGTCAGTCAGTCAGTCAGTCCGTCAGTCAGTCAGTCAGTCAGTCAGTCAATGGATTAAAAAATTGACAGGCAGGCAGGCAATGCAAATTTTCATTACAGAGTGTCATAGTTGTCATTAAAATTAACTTTTGTTAAACTATGTTTGCTACCTATAGGAAATCTGTGATGTGTACGGTGAACGAGTAGCAGAGGAAGCCAAAGAAGAAAACGGATACAACAGACAGGTTGGGTAAAGCATTACTTTTAATTGATGTGGCTACATGTATGTGATACAGCTGGGTACCTTACAGTCTTACTTTCTACCCTGTAGGTGTGTAATATACATGTACACATAATGTGTACCAATGAATACAGTTGAACCTCCACTGACAGCCACTTAGAGCTCTACAACGGCCACTTTTTATGCCCGGGTGGACAGTCCATATACATTTACTCTTATTTTAACCTTGCTACAATGGCCACATCTCCACAACGGCAACAGCCACTAAAACACTCCCCATCTGCTAAAGTAACCTCTCAACAAGGGCCAGTTAATCAACGACAGACGAATGGTGCATTCAAAACCCAATTTCTTTTTTGCAAAAGGTCACGAAACGTTATCAGTACCGTGCATGGTTGGTCTCTGTTACTGTATTATTGGTATATTTTGATTGTGTTACATACTTTTTTGATGACAAACATTTTGCAGTCCCCAAAAAATGACAGGTTTCATTTTACACCCCTACCTCCCCATAATGGGCTTATCTTTACAGCTGTACATTCTTATTTCGGTTCTATTGTCATGTTTACAATTTGATGCACATCTATGAATCAAACCTTTACCTCATTGAGTTTAACATTGATATTTTCTTTTCATTTCAGGACTCCTTCAAAGCAGATGTTTACTTTAAGAGACATTCACCGTAAGAAACTGATCTGTGGTTTTAGGGTTAATTAATTGATGATTTATGCACTAAGTTTTTCCAC